CTCTCTCTCTCTCCTCCTCTCTCTCTCTCTCTCTCTCTCTCTCTCTCTCTCTCTCTCTCTCTCTCTCTCTCTCTCTCTCTCTCTCTCTCCTTCAATGGGAGAAATATATATCGGGCGAGGGAGAAAAAATTTCCCCGTTTCGAAGAGATTTATTTATTAGAATGGAAACTATCGAACACTCGTTTGTTATCGTAGGTGAACGGGAAAGACGTGGCGAACAAGGAACAACGGAAAATCTTTTCGCCGAAACGAAGAACGCGGTGACCATTCTGGTGAGCCGATGCCTGTATCAGGTAAAAATCTCGCTCTTACCCCTCCTCCCTCTCGAACGTTCCAATCCCCGCAGTCTTTTTCGAACCAACACCGATTTGATCCGAATCCCCTCTGTTCCAGGACGACGATTACGAGGAGAGGCGCGCGTACCGTCGGGTAAGTGGGACGACGATATCGATACACCCTCCTCGAACGATTTTACCATTTTTACCATTTTTGCCATTTTTACCATTTTTTTACCATTTTTTTTACCATTTTTACCATTTTATTTTTCAGGTCTCGCCGTTGCTCTCCCCGGACCACATACCCTCCTATCAGAACAGTTTGATCGAGCAACTGATCCGGCAACAGCAACAGCAGACGGAGGAGCGGGCCAAAGACAGGGACGAGGAGGAGGGGTCTACGTTGAGGCCCCCCGTCCCTGGTCACACCCCCTCGTCCACGTGTTCCTCCCAGACCTCGCAAAAGGGAGGCAGGAACGGCGCGTCGCCGGCGCGAGCCGTCGCGGATCACGAGCGCGGCAAACAGGGCTGGGTGCAAGAGGCGATCATCAAGGATTGCTCGAAGAAGATGGAGGGACTGTGCGTGCGCGGGCAATCGCAGACGGCGGGTTCTGGGCCGGAGGGTGGGGGGAGGGGGGAGGAGGGGAGCGGCGAGGGAGGGGGACGGGACGACCCCCTCCTCCTCCTCCTCCTCCGCCTCGGTCAGGCTGGCGGAGGCGTACTCGAATCACGTGTGGAGCGAAACGGAGCATATATACGAGACGATACCGGAGTCGGATAGCGAGCCGATCTACTCGTCCCCGTACGAGCACCACCGCCATCACTGGCATCATTCTTCTAATCACAATCATCACGGGTCGGGCGGCGGGTCAGCCACGGGTCAAACCACAACCGTCTCCACGACCGTTGGGTCGAGCACCGTGGTCCAATACTCGCAAAGCAGTCAGGGGAATCAAACGTCGGGCGGTAGTAGATGGTATTGCTCGTCGAAGAGCAATAGCTCGGGCGAGGAGAAGGACAGCTCGAGCGCTTACAACACCGGCGAATCGTGCAACAGTAATCCGCTCACGTTGGAGTTGCAACGCGGGGAGAAAGATCATCACAAGAGCACGCTGGTTCTTTGCCCTCCCAGAGTGTCCACGATTCACCATCATCAGCAGCAACACCAACAACAACAGCAGCAGCAACAACAGCAGAGATTCGGGTGCACGTGTTCCGCATTCACCAACAAACAGATTAACAGAAATTATTCGAACAAGAGAGTATCGAGCTCGCAATATTACAAGGATCGGGGAACGGATTCGACGAGCGCGAGTAATCTGCCCGCCGACACCATGTACACCAATATCGCCAATCTTCAACAAACGATGCTTTTGCAGCAACAATTGTTCAAACAGGCGCTTGATCGAAGAAACTCGACGATCGGTGGTTCGAGGGAGAGCAGTAGTGGCATGACCGCGGTCGCCGCCGTTCCAACCAGCACCGCGAAAAAGTCGAGATCCCACGGTAACTTTCAAGCGCCTAACTTGACGCGATACCAATTTGTCGGCAGCCAACAGGTGTGCACCTCGTCGAACTCGTGGATACCCCCGGAAGACAAAGGAGGGAACGAGGTGCAAATGGAATGGAAAGTGAAAAGGCGAGCGGACGGAACGAGGTACATCGCGAGACGACCGGTTAGAAATCGTATTCTGAGAAACAGAGCGATCAAGATATCCGAGGAACGGGCCGGTCACAGCACGGAGGACGACACTATGTCGGAAGTGAAGGTGGTTGTTCGAATTCCATCGGCATTTCCACACCTTTTCACACGTTTTCTCATTTCTTCCTCGTGTTTCAGGTCGGCAGATACTGGACCAAAGAAGAACGTAAAAGACAATTGGAACGTGCTCGAGAACGTAAGCAGAGGCAGCAAGAGTTTCAACTGCTGCAGCAACAGCAACAGCAGCAACAGCAACAACAACAGCAACAGCAACAACAGCAGCAACAACAGCAGCAACTTCAGCAAAGCAATGAGTTATTGACATCCGAGCATGGAGAACACGAAAAGCTCGCGAAAAAACCGCTCAATATTCTCGAGCTTAGTCACAAAAAAATGGCTCGTAAGAAAAACACTTTGGACGATTTTACCACGGTTCAAGAGATGTTGGTCCACGGGAACAGGGTTGGTGGAACGGGAGGTCCTGGAGGAACCGGAGGCAAATTGATGGGCCTTCTTTCGGTAACGACCGTTTGAATCGCACCCGTCGCCACTTCTTCGTGCTTCCTTTCATCCACCGTTTCACCCTCAATTCTGATCTCGTTGCTGTTCCTCCACTTTTTTCCACCGTTTGTCTTATCCTTTCGACGATCTTACGATTATTTTGCATGACACGCAACTCACGTGAACTACGTGAAATTAGGAATATGATCGTTTCACGAATTTCTATTCTATATTTGTTTCGACGATTTCGGCGATTTTTCGTTCGTTTCGATCGTGAAAATTAATAAACGAATCGCATCGTATCGTTGAATATCGGTAAACGCCAACACGGTTGTACATACTTCTTTATAACGATATAACGATATAAATGTATGTAGATTATTTTACACGAGTTAAAACTTGTATGGACTTGAAGAAAATTAATAGAATAAAAACGCTTTTGTAGATATGTACAATAACGATCGATTATGTAACGAATAAGACGCGGATAAAAATGGTAAATCAGGATTCTGTGCCCCACAAGGAAAGACGGAAGGATATTCGCATTGTTTCCTAGTAATAATGTACAATTTTTTTTTAAATTCTAAAGTTTTCTTTTTTTCTTTTTTTTTTTTTTTTTTTTTTTTTTGAGAACAACTCGTGATATCGAGTTGTCGTGCGAGCAATGTGAAACAGGTAAAAATGTGCCGTAAGAGAAAAAGATGAAATATATATGAAGAATCACATATTTTATTACGAAATTCAAAAATCCTTATCATCGACACGTGTATCTGTTCATGTATCTATTTAACGATTTATATATCCATCTATCTATTGCATGAACGATGCGTTGATGTTTAAGCTGCTTAAAACTTTTCGTTCCGGAATATTTAGATGCTGGATGTACGCTGGAAAGCAATGATGGGTCGAAAAATTTAATAAAAAATCTTGCAGATATTGACTCAAATTCAAGTGATAGATGGAATCTTGCAGCAAATCCGGATCGTCCTCGTCTTCCTCAGCTTCGTTCGCAGCTTCTCCCAACACTAAAATGATAATTTTAAGCGAAAATATATTATTACGTTAATAATATTATTAGCGATATAATATTATTCGATGAACATTTATTGCAAGAAGAATTTCAGCGAAATAAAAAAAAAAAAAAAAAACAAAATAAAAAATACCGATGGTGCCGCGCATCCCACTTACGTAACATAGTTTCATAGCCTGGATCTAGATAGGCATTTTCACCGTCATCTTCGTCGTCTTCGTTGTCCGATTCCTACGCGTTAAAGACTGATTGATTCGAGCCATCGAACGAGAACAATATAATCGTGGAAAAAGATGGAAAAATTTGTTATACTAACGTCCGTGTCCTGATTAGCAGCGACCGCTTCGATGTCGTTCGATAACTCGTTAATTATCAGCTTGAATATCTTTGCCAAAACAGGTATAGTGGTCCATTGATAAGGCTGTGATTCGGCTTTACTCCTAGTCCTCACGCCTTCTTCGTTTCCTACGTATTCTCGAATTTTAATTAGTCACTCGCTGTTTTGGAATAAATATTTTATCGACATCTTGTATTGATTAAAATTAAAAATAAATATTCAAGAAAAGAAAAAAAGTGACAAAGAACAATGATGTCCCTATCAATTTATATATGCGAATGTACGAGCAAATATTTGTAAATCTTTTCCTAACTCGTTCGAATTTTTTTGCAAAAAAAATATATAAAACTGTACAACGACGGTTTCGAATACGAACCTGAAAATATTTCATCTCCTTTGACAGTGATCTCGTTCAATCGACTATCTCCGTGAGTAACACCGTACTCCAATATCTTGCAAAGCGCGACCGTTGCTACCTTTCGGTCGTATCTGCCGAAAAATAAATGTTGCCTGCTCACCCATTCAGAGAGCACAAATGCGAGAGCGCTCTGTCCTGTTGGACCGGGTACGGTCGACAGAAAATTTAGGACAGCGTCAAATTCTGTGTTTATCAGATGAGCGTATATCATGAGCAAACTCTGTACCACGGTCAACGTCTCGGCTCGCTGCATTTTACTCAGCACAGCTTTCAATAATAGATCGAGATTTTCTCCCAATGTGTTTCCCGCTTTTCTAATTAACGTCGTCACCAATCGTCCGACAAAAGTCGCTGTAAACTCGCTCGACTACAAATGCGACACGCCTCGTTAAAAAAATCAATTAATTGATAATACAATTCATACATAATACAATTCGTGTGTCGAAATAATGAGACGGGATAAAATGAAAAAAAAAAATTATCGAGTTACCTGAGGATTCAACAGCTGAGCGATGATCTGCAGTATGTACTGCAGGCCTGTTTGACCATCGTTATCTCGATGTACCGTCACTTGTCGAGCCGCGACAGCTAGATAAGTCCGTATTACTTCTCCACCGCTTTGCAAGGTTTCGTTGTCCTCTGAATTCAAAATACAATGACAAGCGGCAGGAAACGCAGTTTCGACCAATGCGCTGCTCAGAGGTCTAGGAGAATATTGTACCAATACTTGCAAAATATCCAGAGCTACGTTTTGACATCTTTCTATTGTGATAAACAGAAATTCGAGCAAATAATTTCGATTCTTTACGCAACAATATTCGTGCTCACGTCTGGACGATAAGAATGTTACGTCAAATATAAAATAAAGATTTACCATCTTTTGATTTATTCATAGGAGTTACAGTCATCATGCTGGTTAACGTCGGTATCAATCGGGTTTGCAATGGTCCTATACAATCAGGATTTTGCGTTAAACTTTTAAATATGTCTTGACACAAATTCAAAATTTCAGGATCGCTATAAAACTTTAAAAATGCAGCGATAGTTAAGGGACAAATTTTATTCTCCATTGAAGCAGTAAATGCTTTGTCTAACTGTAAAAACAAGAAGCAAAATTAGACGTAATGATTACGAATAATAATAATAAAAAAAAAGAAAGAAAGAAAGAAAAGAATAATGAATAAATAATAATGAATAATAATATTTTATTACCGAAACCAAAACTTGCAGAGTTTCCATTACTAATATTAAAATTTCCGTTGATGGTTGATTGGCTAAATTGAAAAGTCCTTGGAATATATTTGGCAAATGAGATCGTATAATATTGCCGAGGGTATTGTTATTTTCCATCATCGATGCCTTGCAGAACCAATAAATAGCTTTCACTGCACTGATACGAATACACGAAAGTTGATTCTCTTGCAACCCATTAACTGTTGCTTCTAAGAAACGTGAACTCATTTCTGGTGGCATTATTTCAGCATATTTGCCACCGATACATAAACAACGACCAAGAAGTAATGGTGGTGCTCCTAAAAGTTATCAGTATGATAAGGAATAACGATGGAAAAAATTAATTGTTTTTTCATGAATGAAAAATAATGAAGCAATATCTGAATACCTGAATCCTTTAAAGTAGCTAAAACGATTGTATCCAAAAATCTAATAATATCGAATTGAAGAATTCCAGTTTGCTGCCTTTCCACAACGGCATCTTTTGTTTTACTTAATGCTAAAATAGACGATTCTCGTAATTTCCACCACGTTTCATTATTCTCGCTTCCATTGTTTGTACTTTGTAATCTACTAGTTGCTTCGATATGACGAGTAACTACTTCGCAAAGTGCATTCACCGCTTTTTCCTCGGAATAATTCACTAAAGCCTACAAAAAAATCGATAAAAAAAATTCAATTTAAATATTATACTAATCATCAACGATATTAAACTGTTTCGTTTTATCATTTTCTTCTTGATAATACATATTTACCGTTAAAAGTTCCTGAGCTGAAATGCGAACGTTATAAGCAAATATATCGTCTTCTTCGACAAATTGATTAGGACTAGTCGTCCATAATTCGATTTGATCATCGGTTATTTGCATAAAAATGATTAAATAATACATCACTTCTTGCATTAAATTATCCAAAAGATTTGAAAATCGTTTACGATCTACGATAGAATGAATAAATTCGAATATCGCAATGATCAAATTATTAAAGTTAATTATTTCACCTGTAAAAAGATAAATTGTTTATTGCAAACATATTAATCCTTGATGAGTACAAATTGAATTTTTTAACGGAAAATTTACCATCTGAATCGACCTCTTTATCATTTGTATCTCCTTCTCCATTTACAGATCTTTCTTGATAGAGTTTAGCACTTTGTACTAAAGTTTCCCAAACTGGTGGTAGCATCTGAGGTAAAAATCTTGATATGTACTTAGGTAATTTAGTAACTAGACAATTTATAGCTTTAATAACATCGGTTTTAAGCCCGCTATCGCTAGTTGAACCATCAGACAGTCGTAAACAGTGAACAAATTTTTCACAAAACATGGGGATAACCGGTTGTAGATATTGCTCTGTAAATCCTTTTTGATAAATTCCAGTAGCGGCAACTAACGTTGTAATTGTAGTAAAAATTTCGACAGCACGACCACGGGTTCTAATAGAATATTGCTATAAAACATAAATCGATATTGTCATAATATTATTATATGATAAATATTCAATATAAGATATTAACGAACATACGTTTTCACTTTGAAATATTCTATACATTTCTTGAAGAATTACTGGTCCCACATTAGGTAATTGATTATCAGTAAGATCTGAAGTAAATTCTGTTAAAACTCGCATTGCTCCGTGAACGGCATACTCGCTTTCCCCGCTTAAACAACTAACAAGTATATCGAATAAACCTGGCCAATTTTCTGGCCAATCCCAATGTGCAATAGCTGATATCGCATATGCTACTGCTGTACGTACCTGAATAATTAACGAGATAAAACATTTTTATATTTGATATATATAACATTCATAAATCAAATTATAAACATATATTACTTTACTAATGGATTCACGAAGTCCTAATGGCAGTAATTCTTTAATTCTTTCCTTTGTTGTATATTTTATTTCAGGAGGACGAAATTTCTCAGCCACAGAAGACCAATGAGTTTCAACATATTGTTTTAACAATACAGAAGCTAATTGTCTAATAGGTAAATGTCCATTAGGATCTACTACAAATTCTGTCAAATGTATACCAAATTCCTCTGTAACTTCCAATGCTTGTATTCTTTGTTCAGCTGCTTGTCTTGTCTCTGTATGAGGAGACAAAATTCCACTTAACGTTTCATACAAAGCTTCTCTCAAAGAACCTTGTACATCCATTGTGTTATAATTATAATAATCTCAACTTCCTTTTATTCCTTGTTTCCTATATATATATATATATATATAATATTTGTTTATTATTGTTATAACTAATTTTAAAGGTTTTATTCTTAA